TTCATCAAGGTCAGAAGTCAGGTGGGAAGTAAAGAGAAAACAATCTAAGAATAAATCTAAAATATATATATGTATGAAGAAAAATGATAAAACAATCAAATTAAAGGTATAGTGTTAATGTGACCATCATAGAAACAAAGAGGAAAATATATATATCCATACATACATGCACATAGGTATACACACATACATATACATTCATACACACTCATGCAACATTTGAGAAGAAACTGAAAAGAGGGTCTCACAGGGACATCGGGGGTCAGGCAAGAGGCCCCCTCCACCCGACCCACGGCCCCAACAGCAGCTGACAGCCCCAGCAGGATACAGACTGGGCGGGTTAGATTAGATTTTTCACTTGATTGAGAAGGTTGTAGATTGTTGTTGGTTGTATTAATTTTTAAATTGTTGATATCAGAGGAACTGGTCCCTCCCAACCCGTATTTCTGGATGAATGTACTGAATGATATAAATTGGTTGTTTTAAGAGATGGAGGTGAGTGATTTCCTTTTGTTGCCATGATGGAAAGTGGATGGGGGTGTTGTGTAGCTGGAGGTCTGGATTGTGCCATACTGGGTGTATCTACATGGTGCTAGTGATGACTTGGTGATATTATGGTTTTCCACCAGGCTGCCAGAGTGAGGAGATGGTGATGGTTTTGTGGTACACTGTAAAACCCGATAAGTTAATTGAACTCAAAAAAATAGTTGAACTGATTACATCGAAAATCTTAAGTTCTAACAACTCAATCTTTTAAGTTATAATAAACATAATTACATAAAGTACTATTAACTTAGCGTAATCAAGTGACACTTACTTCATTTTGTATGTTAATGTTACACTAATTATTAAGTATTATTTACATGTTTTTTTATTCTGAAAGAACAAATACAAATAAGTACTGCAAACTCAAATACTTTGTGAAGCGTTACCATGAATTATTTATGTTTTCCTAAAGTAATTATTTACATTATATTAACATGTATTTTTTTAGTTTAATTTAGTTTTGAAAACTTTCCTATAATTAAAAACTCTTACTTAATTGCAACTCAAAACAACATTTTGAATTACTTAAAACATTTGTTGAAACTGATTACATAATTTTTTTTAAGTTGCTTTAACATAATATCCTGAAATACACAAATTCTTAATGAACATTAAACACATTTTAACACAGTTCTTTAAATGCAGATCACTTTATTAAATGACTAAAACATAGCCAAACATTATAGTGATTATAAAAAACCTTCCAGCAGCTTATAGTGCAAGAGCTTTGGCAAACAGCCTATGATCATTTATGATCAGAACATTTACATTATCACAGTGCAAGATTCAACGTAGTAACAAACGTTTGCAAATATTAAAATTATTGCCTCAGTATAAGCAGCATGTCAAAACATTCAAATGACATATATCTGAGTAAACATTGTATCTCCAGACCTGTCCTCATGACACAACACAGGAGCAAAATAAACAAATATCAAACTTCAACCAGAGAAAGTCCAATTTTGTATCAGAAAGACACAGCAACAACTATTGTACAATAGTTCAGAAACACAGTAACTTTTAAGAATAGTTGACAACTTAATACACAGATATACTAAAGAAATGCCAACTTCAGCAAAATGACAAAAGGTTTACCCTATAGTTCTGTACATCAACACTAGAAAAACCCAGGCATTTCCAACAGAAACCCATTACAACTTTGAGTTCAACAGGCATTTTTTCAAAACACATCTTTTTGAAGTAAAAACCCGAACTTAGGGCCCTAACTTTTTTACTGCTCTTTGCAATGCCAAAATTACACAAGTCCATGTGCGCAAACAGAAATTCTTCAGTGAAGTATTACATTGTGTGTTGTGTGTGTGTGTGTGTGGTGTGTGTGTGTGTGTGTGTGTGTGTGTGTGTGTGTGTGTGTGTGTGTGTGTGTGTGTGTGTGAGATCATTCAGTTGACAAAAGGTCGTTTTTAAGGCTCAATACTCTAGGCTTCAACTTGCCATCCTCAAGGCCCATCAAGACTTTTTGGATGAAGTCAAATGTATTGGCCAAGTCTTTCGGGTAACTTAGATGTAGCCCATAAATAAGTGCAAAAAGCATGACAAATGCATCAGAAAATGTTGGGAAATCGACAACTGTGTTACCCTCAAGCACAACGGCAACCTTCTCGGGGCAGAATACCGCAGCATCTGTTGAAGTGGCACTGATCAGGAGGAGCCCAACTGGTATGTTGTCGATTTGCAGTTCATCTGACAGGGCCTGCTAAAGACAAGGACAGAGAAATGTTACAAATCAACTGCCTAAGCTTCAGTGTTTCCCATAGAATGACAATGTACCAAAAGCTGTTTATGTTTCTTGATCAGCGGAAAAATATGGAAAGTACACTACCCTATTGCTATTCAGGATTTCTTAATTCACCACTTTAAATGTAGTAATTATCCCCCTTTTTTTGTTTTTTGGCCTCAAAACAATCAAAGCTAAATGGTACTGAAAGACAATGACTCAACTGACAAGCTTTTTTAAACAATCACTATATTGCATTTATTCTCACTATAGATGTTGATATTGTTTAGCATACTATTCCAGCTCTGCAGGTTTTAAATGGAATTTTAAAAACTGCAGCATGAATTGAGGTTTGACCAGTAAATGCAAAGTTTAATTACTAATTCCTCACAGGTAAGATTAAGCCTACTGTAGATGTTGCAGGACAATTATTACTATATTAATCTTTTTCACTTTTAATATCATGGCAATCATACACCAAAATGACAGCATCTGAATAAAACAGATGAAATATATAACATGTTCAACAGATTCATTACAAGTCTTAATAATATGCTGACTTACATCCCACAGCTTCAGAAATCCGGAGTCATCCTCATGCAGATATGTAGGGAGAGCACGGAGGACGGCAGCACGGAGGACATTGACGTCAACTTGTTCCTTAAGTATGAGAAAACACATCATCTTAATTTGAAATGCCAAACAGGGAAGGAACAGAATTTATCACAAGAAATAGCCCTATATGATGTATTTGAATACGATTAGGTAATGCCTACCAAACTGTCAAATGACAATATCAAAAGCGGAACACTTGATGACATTTATTGTTTCTATTGTTGGTCGTGTTTTTCCAAACAGTCTTTCACGATAGAAGACTGTCAGCTATCAACGATGGCATCATCATTTGGCCCTAATGTAATCTGAAGATAGGGAGTTCCAACAGGGTTCTATTATTATCATGCATGAAGAAGGATAATCAACTCACCTGGCGGTCATAAGTGTTGAAGAGCTGATCCAGGACTTCGGACACCTTCCCTGTGCGCGCAGCTTTCTTCCTGAACAAACTCTGAAGACGAGGGACATGTCTGTCTAACTCAGAATAGAAGTGGTTCTTCAGTTGATGTTTGTGATTCTGTTTGTGATTCTGTGAAACTCCAGGATCTCTCCAACAGGCAAGTCATCATTGATGACCTCTTTGCGTCGCAGGGAAAAGGTGGTCTGCATCAACTTTGCAATCAGAGGAGGTTTTTGTCAGTCCTTATAACTTCATCTACAATCTGGAGTCTCTGTCGCTCAAGGCTTGAACCATCTTCTCCTTTTGGAAAGTTGGGGAGAAAATTCACTTCTGCCCTTTTTGGTCTCTTTATGTCAGTGTGGGGAGATTGTTTGTCAGGGTTGTTTCTGCTTCTCTTTCCAGAATTTACAGCTACCTCACTATATCCTGCCCGACTCAACTTAGTGCAGAAGTTACCCATCTTAAACTTCAGACTATTTTTCCAACCATACCATCCTGTCTGCGTTCCTGGTTCTTTAAGACAAGCATGGGTGGTGACAAGCGCTTCTGCAACCACTGAAATGTCTTTATCACTGGGATATGCTTTAAAGCTATGCATTTTGGATGCAAGGGTTTCAAGAATGTCATGCTTCTGTCCCCTTGATAACTTCAGGGTTTTCCCTGTTCTCTCATGATTCAAATTTCCCTCAACAAGTATGAGTTCTACTCCATAAGAAAAAGCTGGCACTGGACAAACATCCAGCCATCTCTGGGTCCTTTCTGGAGTCATTGCATGAGGCAATATTATTGTGTCATCAGATGCAATTGAACTGGCATCACTCTGAGATCTTACAAGTTTAAGTACTGCCTTCTGTGGAAGCTCTTCAATGTCTATAAGGGAACATAACTGCCCGTCAAAGTCTGGATCTTCATATGATAAGCAAAAATCAAAGTCTATCTTAAACTTTTCTTTTGTCATTTTTTCAAGCTCAGTCACAGATTCTGGACTTGAAGCCAAAGTCATCTTCCTGACAATGTCCATGGAAGTATGTATGTGAAGATTACCTATTAAAACGAAGAGAGGGGAGAGAACGGATTAACTAATAGCATTCAACAATGCATACACAATAGGTATTTGTGTGAAACAGTTATAGACAGATATTATTCACCTAAAAGCTGGGGTTTGAAAAAAATTACAGTTGTAGCAGGTAAGTCTTTCTAGGCTTGTAATGTTAGTAAACGTAACTGGCATATCAAATTTTAGTTTACCTGTCTTACTTTGCTACACACTGTTCCATGAGGCCATATGGTTCTTCACTTCTGATAACATTTTACACCTGGATTTCTCTGATCAAAATAAATTTTTTTGTGGTCAGTATTAAGTGTCCATCTATGTTGTATGCAGACAAACTTACTGTGTCATTTAGTTCTGACAGCTCGATGACAGAGCAGGTGTCTGAGGATGTCAGCTCAAATCACCTCAAATGCTCTCTGTACCAGCTCTCGTAGTTTCTGCAAAGAAAGAAACAAGTTATTCACAAGCAGTGTTTGGTCAGTCTCCAGCCTGGCCTGCAGAAACATACATACCATTAGCATACTCTGTGCCATCAATGGACACCTGTGTTGTACTGTATATGTTTTGGCTGTCTGTCTTTGTTCTTATAAAGTCTTTTGCCACTTGAGGCAGTGTGCAACGTGGACAGAGGTGACACTCGAAGATTGTGTGTGGGTTTGAAAAATAATGTTGCACTTCAGTGATACGCCATCATGTGCTGATGCCTAGTGGCAAGAGTTCTCAAGACAGTCTTGAAATTGTGTGTGTCTGTATCACTCTTTTAAAAAAGCGATGTTTTCCCTCGAACCTCATTGTCCAAAGGTGAACAAGAGGCCCAAAGCGCCTTGTCATTTCTGGGTAGTGCTCAACATAATGATGCTTGGGTCTGAGCTTAAAGTCTGGAAACACTGCTTGAAGTCCCTGTCGATGATCACTGATTTTAGTCTGCATGTACTGTAAAGACTCCTCTGTGAAAGATGGAGACAACACCAGCTGCACTATTTCTTTGAGGTCCAACAATATGGCCCATGTTTCATCTCCTTCAGGGACTTTACTTCCTACCAGTAGTGGTAATAACCTAAGCAAAGTGGAATTTTCATGCCGTTTGGCAGCAAAATTCTTTGGAATTTGTTGCGGTTTATCAAGCCTATCAGTGTGCTGATCTGGAAATGTGTGAATTCTTGTGTTTAGATATTCAAGTGTGAAATACTTCAGGCAAATCATCTCACGGATGCACAAGGCCATCTCAACTGGCACGACACCCTCAAAGAGGTCGTGAAGAATATCAGGTGGAAAACCAGTGATGGGATGAAAATGCTGCAATGCCATGCTGAGAGCACACTGACCTTTAACACCTAAGTGATTTGCTTTGTCTTCTTCCACAACATTCTGCACATGAAGATCATGGGAGGCCCTTTTCTCATGCTAAACTCCCCTTCAGAAACGTCAGTGCACTGTTTCTGGTCTGCAGTACAGCAACAAAATCAGGGACAGTTTCAGCTCCCCTGTTTCAGACAATAACCTGATTTTCTTTGAAATATGTTCCATCTTTCATGAGACATGTAAATTCCTGGTGGAGACGGTTTGCCTCGTGATTTTTTCAAGAAGATCAGTAGTTTTAAACATTGTTTGAATCATCTGAAGAATGGGAACATACACTGCTGTGTGTTCACTGGAATCAAAAGTGTATTGCACTGGCATTACAAAGGATAGTACTCCTCACAAATGTTTCCCTCCGCTTAGCAGTGGACAGTTTCCGCACCTTCTGAAGTAGCATTGACAAAAACATTAGTTTTCATGATAGCCTCCTCTAGGTCATGAAGAAGGGCCCCACTGACAGACAGATCATGCTCTTGTAAAACTATTGACAACAGCTTCTCTCACAACAGGTTTGGACAAAGTGAATATTTGTGCCAAATTTTCAATGATGTCCTGTGTAGCTGTCTCTGACACATGAAGAACACTGTTCATTTTCAAGAAGAAGAAGCCAAATTATTTTGAAGTGCCCTTCCAAGTCATCAGTTCATCTCTGGATCCAGAGGGCTCACACTCAGGAGGTACCGCTTCAGGAGAGTGTGTAAAGGGCATCCCTATCAGATTCATCCTGACTCTGCATTGGTTGACTTTCAGTTTCTGTACAGACAATCTCATTCTTATAATTTGAAACATCACTGTCTGGATGAGTCCTACTTTTGTGGGCATTAAAGGAGGAGTAGACATTAGTGCGGTCTTGACAGT